TCAATCAAGTCGTCTTTGTCATTCCTCTAAATAACTTATTCACACTGGAATGAAATGTCATTCCTCAGGCCCCATGGTGCAACACACCACAGCAGTAAGATTACACAGGACTACACAAAGTGCAGAGACACAACAGTGTGAAATGAGTGCACAGTGCATAATAAATACTCCAGATAATAAATATACAGAACCTGCATGTCACACACATCTGTCTCTAATGCAGACCAAGCACTTCTGAGTTCTCTTGCCATATAGGTTTGCACGTTGGATTTGAAATTAAAGCTATCTCTGTGCAACAGATTTCTTCAATGATGCAATGAAACAGTCATATCGCCCCCTACACTTCCCGTAGGGCATGGCTATCTGTCAGGAAGACAGCTTGTAGATTATAGAGTGTTTCTTTGACATCTTCAGCAGATAATCAGTTTTGTTGACTAATCACTGCAGTCCTAATCAATATAACACAACATTAACATTCTTGAATTATTTATGTGCAAAAACATAGATTAAAAGATGCAGCATGCAGAGTGTGAAGTTGTGTCGGTGTAAATGTGAACAACTTTTACAAAACTGGAAAAAAAAATGTTTCAAAATTGAAACTGTATTAAAATTGAAAACCGTACCACTTAAGGATGCAATGATACCCAAAATTCAGGATTCAATTTAATATGATACAGCGGTATCTCGATTTGATACATGTTCTGACATGGCAAAAATAAAAAAAATGACTGAAAATTTGCCTTATGCTGTTATTTTAGTTTTCCAATCTAATGATCACAAACGAATAAGTTAGCCCCAAGCTTAAAACTGGCCACAAGCGAAAATGCTAGTCACAATACAACACAATACAGCACAATATGCCGTGATTCATTATAATACGTTGTACTGTTACATCCCCGTTATCACTGATACACACCTCATTCCTGGGGTCTTTCATTTGCCATCCTTTTTAATGGAAACCATTATTTTACTCTGATCGTATTAGAGTAAGATGGGCAAAGAGAGAGAGGGGCTTAGCCAAAACACATATGCATATACTTTTTTTCTTGAAGCAGCTTAGAAATATGAGCCAATTCAATCTGTGTGATATTGAGTTGACCGTACTGGACTTATGTAGATCATTACATCCCTGGTAAACAAGCCTATCTATCAAAATCCCAGGTCATGCACTTTCCATTTGCTTATACATTTCTCTGCAGTAGTTGCTGATACTTTTGCTTACACCACCATGAAGCTCACCTTTCAAAAAACAACCCATTTGCACGGACTGATTCTACCTGCGGTCTCCGAATAAGAAGCCTCATATTCCCAGTTTCTCTCTCTCAATGACCGGCCAACAGCATACTGCAGATTTCTGTTCTGACTAATAGAGTCCTTTCATTGACCAGCCGGAAAAGGCCACATGGTCTCAGCGGCTACACACACATGCACACACACACAGACCCACAGACACACACATACACATTCAGGAAGCCTTCAGCACATTCATTCACACCCACCGGGAGTGGGCGAAGGCTGCCTGTGGTCTCGCCAAGAGCCTCTAATGCTGCTGAATTAGAGGTACAGCGGAGAGTGGATTGAATGGAACCTGCGCCTGCACTGCCAAGCAAAGCATCCCCGCTGCAACGAATAAGCCTCGTTTCAGCAGCTCGATCGGTTATACAAGAACGGCGTGCAGTGCACAAGTTTGGCTTTTGCGATATAAAGTAAGTGGAACCAGGAGTGGGCAATGCAACGGGATGACGTCAGTGCCATGATAAATTCTGGCATGATGTGCTTTTCTGAGTATGGTGGAGAACATCCGGACTTGAACAATGAACAGTTTTTGCCAGGTTTTGCATATCAGTAGAAAATGCTGAGATTGAGACTGGAGGGAAAAAAGAATAAATCCCATCCAATACTGTAAAAAATCTAGCCTGAAATAGCATACATTTACACTGTTGGTAGTTGTGTATTTCTTACCTGCGTTTTGCCTACAATAATACTGGCCAAGCAGCCCACCCAGCCAAACTTACATGCTTGGACGAGATAGAGACATTAGGTTATTACTGGCGCACTAACGTTCACTTCCTAGCATGTGGATTTCACCCAATTTTGGACAAAATATTATTTTTTCTAAGAAAGATGATATATTTTCGAATTTAAAAATGCATTCAGTTCAGCTCCGATCAGTCTGCGGCAGAGGCGAACTGGTTTGTGCCGAAAGAACAGCATAGTCTTCTAGCACCTACTCAACATCTGTGTTGTACTACTTAAAAGGGAATAATAAATAATGATGAAATACACTGCACGTTGCAAGTGTTTCACAGCACTATTGTATTTCATTTGTTCATTACGACTTGTTCACAAACCTCAAAAAAGTTTACCCAAAATATGACAATATAATTCATATATCATGAAAACCATGATGTTATATTTTTGCCATGTCGTCCATCCATCAAAAAAAGAACAAACAGATTATAAGAACTAAACGACTACAACGGTTGGGTGCTGGTATATTCCTACTGCTGACAAAGCCTTACTGAAACACGTTTGTTTTGCCAGTAAAGTAGGACTACATTTCTCCGTTTGGTGTTTTAAATCACATATGCTGCCTGTTTCAAAGGCAGGAAATAGTGATATGCCATATATAATGATGCATAAGACGATTGACTCTGACGACAATAGTGTTACATAAAATCAGCACATGGTAAAAGCCACAGAGAACGTGCATTTGGCATTGAGGGGGATAAAGTAAATGTTTTTCTCTGAGCCTTTTCTCCTCATTTCCATTCTGCGGCTCTTCTGTCAGGCTGTATGATACAGAGGCATTCTTCAAGCACAGCATGATCAATACGCAGATGTTAAACTCACTGTGCCTGGCAAGACAGCAAAATGAGCGTGTATATGTGCACATATACAGACATATATATAGACAATGCATGTTCCATCCCAATATAACTATTGCAACCTAATCCCTACATAATACCAGTGATTCTAACAGCTTACATTTAGTCAATGGCTGCAATCTGTTAATGCTGCATATAATAACAGACAGATCATAAAAAGATCTGCCCCAAATATAAGACACTGGCATTTTTTAAAAGGTAGTGTCAGCAAGTGTCTCACAAAACACAAAAATGGTCTCATTATTGGAAGAGCTGCCCCAGTACAGGGCAAAAATGGGTACATTATGACATTTAGCTTAATATAAAACAAAAGCAGTCTCATCACTATGAGGTTTGCCACAGAATAAGGGTGGCATCATTATGGCATTTGCCCTACTATAAGGCAACACATGTTCCATCATCAGGACATTTGCCCCCGTATAAGACAAAAACGGGCACACCATTATGAGATTTCGCCCAATGTGAGACAAACATGTCTCATCACGATTATGTTTGTCCCAATTTAAGACCAAAAATGGTCTCATCATTGTGCAATTTGCCCCAAAACTGGACCAAAAATGGTCTCATCATTAGCAGATTTGATATTGGTTGATCCTATAAGAATGGGAACATTATGTATTTTGCTCCAGTGTAAGACTGTGTCATCATTATGGGATCTAGCCCAAAATAAAATAGCACATACTGCATTTTCCTACATTTCTTACATATTACATATTACATGACCTAATATTACAAAAAATAGCATCATCATTTAGAGATTTACCCCAAAACTCAGCACCAAGACCATAAGTATCTCATCTTCATGACATTTGCTCCAGTTTAAGGCAATAAGTATCTCATTTTTATGATATTTGTTCCAGTATAAGACAATAAGTATCTCACCTTTATGGAATTTGCTCCAGTTAAAGACAATAAGTATCTCATCTTTATGGAATTTGCTCCAGTGTAAGACAATAAGTATCTCATCTTTAGGACATTTACTTCAGTATAAGACAGTAAGTATCTCACCTTTATGATATTTGCTCCAGTATAAGACAATAAGTATCTCATCTTTATGGAATTTGTTCCAGTTAAAGACAAGTGTATCTCATCTTTAGGACATTTGCTCCAGTATAAGACAATAAGTATGTCATCTTTAGGACATTTGCTCCAGTATAAGACAGTAAGTATCTCATCTTTATGATATTTGCACCAGTATAAGACAATAAGTATCTCATCTTTATGGAATTTGCTCCAGTATAAGACAATAAGTATCTCACCTTTATGATATTTGCCCCAGTATAAGACAATAAGTATCTCATCTTTATGATATTTGCCCCAGTATAAGACAATAAGTATCTCATCTTTATGATATTTGCTCCAGTATAAGAGTATAAATATCTCATCTTTAGGATATTTGCTCCAGTATAAGGCAATAAGTATCTCATCTTTATGGAATTTGCTCCAGTATAAGACAATAAGTATCTCATCTTTAGGACATTTGCTCCAGTATAAGACAATAAGTATCTCATCTTTATGATATTTGCTCCAGTATAAGACAATAAGTATCTCATCTTTATGGAATTTGCTCCAGTATAAGACAATAAGTATCTCATCTTTATGGAATTTGCTCCAGTATAAGACAATAAGTATCTCACCTTTATGATATTTGCTCCAGTATAAGACAGTAAGTGTCTCATCTTTATGATATTTATTCCAGTATAAGACAATAAGCGGCCACGTTATTATGAGATTTGCCCCAGTATAAGACAAGTGTAGCTCACGTGTCACGTTTGCCCCAATATCAGACAAACTGGTCCCTGTTTGAAGCTCTTCCCCAAAACAAGACAACGTCCTGACACGAAGCGGTGAGCTGCTGTTGTACAGTAACACCTACATCATGCCATCGCTCTCAACAATAAAGCAGACCATTCAGTCCCAGTCCATCCTTCAGAACTGCCCACATGCCAGCCTGCCCAGAAAGACTGAACTTGCACGGCCAGTGACCAACACACGGTCACAGATCCATCCACGCTGTTTCCATGAATGGTTTGCAGACAGAATGGCCGAGTCAGGCCTTAAAGGGACATGGGATCTGAGCTGAAACGCTCCAAAACAGAAAGTTTTACTCACCAATTCCACGCCGTCCTGGATCCTCTTCCCAAACCGAGGTTGCTCGGAGCGTGCGAGGCTTCGCTGAACCGACTCCGTGATTTGGTTCGGACTCGCTGCTTCAGCCCAAGGACGCCGGACTGCACGTCAACAGAGAAATGAATCCGACTAGATGTTCTGCTTTCATTTCGACGCGGACCGCCCCCGCACCTCGGTTTTCGGCCGCTTCTTGTGCTCTGCTCTGAGTGCAGAAACGCGTCCCATCCCTCCCTTCCACCCTCTCACCCTCTCACTCTCACTCTTCCTTCCGCACTGGCAGTGAGGGAGCAGGGGCAGCGGGGAACCGGGCTCTCCTCTCGCTCGCTCGGTTTTTGGTGGAGGAGCTGACCTGCAGAGCTCTGCTGAACAGGCTTGTGGTTGTGAAATAGCCTCGATGATCGACCGAAGTGATAGCCGGTGGAACTTCCATGCTTCGTTAAAACATTTCCCCCCTCTTCTCTCATGTTGGGTCCTAAAGCCCGCCCGTTTCCTTCGTCGATTCCCGAGAAAGTGAGGAGGACTCAGTACCCAGATAGCAAGCATACATCCAGGATTGGGCAAAACTTTGAAAAATGGCTGAATACTTAATGTTCTGTTCTTTTTACAAAAGTAAAATCGCACTGTTTCTTGCTGTTACTGGTTGGCCTTTTTAAAGGAATTATTCTGTTAATACATTTCATGAAATATTCACTTATTATTATAAAAAAAACTTTTTTCTTTCGCAGATCCTGCTTTGGTCCACTGCTGCTCTCACAATCCCCAGATCTGTTTGATTAATAACATTGATTCATCAGTCTACTCAGGCTTTAGCAGAGCTCAGTGACACTGAGATTAAGTCAGCTTTATTGTCAATACTACAATATGTACAGGACATACAGAGCATTGAAATTACGTTACTCTCAGACCCTATGGTGTAGCAATAACATTAAATAGACAGTAAACAGGAAATGTGTAAATTAAATAGACACTAAATAAACACTAAACACTAATCGTAAAAATAAACACTAATTGTAGAAAAATAGAATAATAAAACAATAATATAAATATTATTACTGACTCATAACTGACTCATCACGTTGATTTATCAGTCTACTCAGGCTTTAGCAGAGCTCAGTAACACTGAGATTAATAACTGATCATGACACTGATTTATCAGTCTACTCAGGCTTTAGCAGAGTTCAGTAATACTGAGATTAATAACTGATCATCACATTGATTTATCAGGCTACTCAGGCTTTAGCAGAGTTCAGTAATACTGAGATTAATAACTGATCATCACATTGATTTATCAGTCTACTCAGGCTTTAGCAGAGTTCAGTAATACTGAGATTAATAACTGATCATCACATTGATTTATCAGGCTACTCAGGCTTTAGTAGGAACTTCAGTGTTTTTAAAGAAGCCGTTAATTGAGCTCCTCTTTAGAGTTCGTCTAATGAGCATGTTTGCTACATGCCATGCACTGATTCTAAAATAGTTCATAAACAAGATTTATGGTGTTTCTTTTGAATATTGTATGTTTTTGATTTAGTGCGTAAGTATTCTAAAAGTATTTTCCTAAAAATGTAAAAAGTAAGTGTAACTTAATTTCTGTATTCTGAATACATATTCCCAATACTTGCATTTTATTATGTCCCAACCCTGTGTATATCGGTCTGCTGACTGTATGCCACTGTTGTTCCACCCTCGGACCACCCAGATTAATATCCTGTATACAAGGTCTAACTATTTTTTAATCTCCAATCTTATCTTTTAATCTCAAACTCATAGCCTTTTTTTTGGAAAATAAGCTAAAGCAAATATTACAAACAAATGAGAGACAAGAAATGGATGACTAGGCCTAATATAAAATGATTTTGTTTAAAATGTTGTTGCTAATACTGTGCTATATTGGTTACAGCTGTATAGAGCTAAGCAGTTTTTCTAAATGGGAAAAATGAATTGCATTTTTGAAAACTGCTGCTATCGCACCCTGCGGCAACCAAAATTGTTCAAAGCTAATAAGTTTTGTCCGATGTACATTATTCCTCCAAATGTCACTGGACCCTCTGAATTATGAAGTTTTTCAAAATATAGTTTGGCAAAAAAAAACTTCTTTAGTTAAGTTCTTTAGCTTCTTTAGTGCTGGAGCTATAAATCTAACATTGCTAACAAACACTAAAAGTCAAGAGGTTTTTCTGTACATGCACAAAACATCTCTCTTCAGTAAGGTCACGCGGACTTGTTGATGTGGTTTAGGGCGCTGTATGACTCACTGTAAACTTTAAAAATGAACAAAACTTCACTGTATAGCTGGGGGCAGCCATTTTAGACAACAGGTTGTTGTGCCAAATTCTGACTTCTTTGCAGAATCTGACTCCCCTCAACATGTACGCATGTCACAGAGGCATATGGATGCTACATCCCAGTAGAAATTCTGGTATTTCTATGTATAAGCAGATATCTTCAGTTTGAAAATTTAAGATATAGAGTTGTTTATAAATATAGAAACAATAGAAATTGCAAATCATCAAAGGAACTCAAACAAGTGCATCAGTTTTAGTGGACTTTTTATATTAGCTAATGACAAACATTATTAGCTACGAAGCTGATTATCATTGCAGCTATTAGTGTCTTCAAATCACCATTACAAAGGAGAAAATGTTGACTCCAACAACAGATACCACTTGTCAGATGAGAAGGGCAACAAGCTAAGCTATAGTTAGCAGAGTAGCTACCTGGCTAAGTAGATGTTCACTGGCAGAAAGGGAAAGGTTTTCATAGTGATTTTTGTTTCACAGCTGCGGTAGGAGCTACACTAGTGCTAGCCTTTTGGTATTTAGCCTATAGCTCAGTGGCTAGGCTAGCTGTCAGGAGGATTTCCAGTGTTTGTATGTATTTGCATAATGCATGCTGGGTATTGTAGTGAGAGAACATTGATGAATTTAAGGCAGACATCTTTTATTCTTATAAGTAGTCTTGTTGGTTTCTTTACCTCCGCTACAATAATGCTAACTTTCACTAGCGCATTCACACCAGCAATCAACCACAGCCCTGATAGCAAGAGGACAGTGGTCCACTGTCAGCCCGCTGATGGCAAAGCTGGTGGTCCACTGGTGTTTTGCTCTGCATTTTCCGGGCATCCCGCCGGTGGATAAGCGGAGTGTTGGACAAAATTCCACTTATTATTGCTCATTTTCCACTCACAGTCCAGTTTACTGAATTTTCCTCCGTTTTTTTGGTTATAACTTGTAAATTAGTTTAGTAAACAATTTCAATCTAACACAGTGACAGCAACAACATTTTCTATAGAATCATTTTATATCAGGCCCAGTCATTATTTTTTTTCTCTTGGTTGTTTATAAAATTAAAAAAAAGTTTATTTTCTAAAATAAAAGGCTCTGTCCATTTAAAATCTGTTTGAATCTGTTAGAGTTTGTATTCAGGACAGTAATCTCGAGAGAGGCTCGAGAGTGGACCAGCAGTGGTAAATAGTCAGCGGGGTGCCAATCTTTTCAAACCAGCGGACCGATATATGCTTGCCGTCTGGGAGACCACAGGCAGAGTAATAAATCATATTATAGCGCATCTGATCACTTGACTGGAACTAAATGTATTTTTTAATGTTATTTAATCAGTTATTAGAGCAAATCTGGGAGCAAGACGTGGCTGTGAAATTTGAGAAGAAAGCAAAGCAAAGCAAAGGTTGAACAAGAGCATGAGCTCATTCAGCTGAAAGGTCAACTAACTTAACAGAACAGCTTCACACATTAGTCCATCTGTTTGGTCAGTTTCTCTGATGACCTGTCCATTGGCTTGTGTGGTGAACTTTATTCGGGCTTAAGCAGGCTAAGTGAAGGAGTAAAGGACGAGGGGAGATGCTGATGTTATTACAGATGATCAGCAGCTTCAAGGTGCCATATCCTCTGGGAGAGAGGTTTAATCCAGGATCAACCACTCTAGTTGCTTTGCAATGACCCCTACTCTCACTCTCACGTGCTCACGCAAGCATATTTATTCTCAGAATACATTTGTTTTTGTGCTTTCTCTCCGTGCCTTGCAGTCATCTTTCTCTCCATCTCTCCAGGTTTACTTTGGCATGACTCATGCGAATAATTTACACTACTGCTTTTAATACGCTGTTCACACAACCACTGTTACAGCAAGAGAGAGGAGAAAAGAGGCAGAGACAGGGCTGCCACTAAAAAGCTGTCAGGAACATCAAAAGTTGATGGCCAGCGCTTTGGAGGGAAGCGCTGACGGCTTTAGATCTCTGAGCTGAGCAGTGGGAGTTGCAAAGGCTCGGAGGCTTGGCGCTACGGTGAGGTTATTATGCTTCATCCCAGGACAGAGTGACCGCACAGCCGAGGCAAGAATTTCTAAACCTGCCTCCATACAAGAGGCATCTGCATTGCAGAGAGTGTGCTAGCGGAATGCTATTAGCATACTGAAAATGAAAGATGTGGACTTCTGTGCTCGGCGTACTGCACGCTGCAAAATGAACAGCATTAACGTACTATTGTGGAATCTATTATGTTTAAAACATATAAGCAATGACTTCCAGTGTATATGATGAGATTTGGATTATGGTTGAGAGAGGTCGAGGACGAGGTCAGGCTTAGGAAAAGGACATTAGGGAAGTAGATGGATTTAGCATGTGTAATGTAAGTGCAGGCTTTGTGGATAAAGGTGAGCTCAAGGTCAGTTGTAGGTAGTGGGAGGTCAGTTGTTTGGTCAAGCATAGCGAGTGCAAAAAGAAAAACATATCGTCACACACATTAAATCTGCTCCATATTTCTTGTCATGTCTCTAATCCCTGCGCACAGGCTCATGGGAAATGCAGTCTCTCGCAGACTGAGCCAGCTCGACTTGTCTAACGTTTAAGATAGATAGATAAATTGACAGATAGACAGATGCCGATGGAAATTGCAGCAATACAGTAGCAAGACATAAACATAAACAAACTTACATATATTAGTCAGAAATAAAAATAGACATAAATTACAGAACATGAGAGAATCTGTTATGCAAGAATATTAGCAGAGTATATCTATTAGCATTGTTCAGGATGCTAATACACGCTAATATATCTCTTAGCCTTGTCCAGGATGTAGACTGAGGTAGTGAGGTAAACTAAGCAGGCTACCTGTGATAATGTAAAACACTGCCTGCTACTTATCTGCTATAGACTGTAGTGGATTAAAAACACTGTAGTTTGTTAGCGCTAGCTTAGCTAACTAGTTTAGTAGGTCTAGCAGGTTTATTTACCTCGTTAAACCATGAAATAGACTTCCACGTCTAAAATTATGTAACATTATTTGTGTGACACATATATATGGCTAACTAGGGTTGTCTGGTGTCCGGTTTAGTCTGTTTTTGAGCTCTGTTTTCTGGTGTTCTAACAATTTATCCTACCCATCGAGTGGCCCTACCTATTTAGTACAGATTTAGCTTAGTATTATTATTA